GAAGTTGGTAGCAGTTTATTCATATCACCCTTTATAGGGGTCCCTTTTTACATGGTCAACAATAGGGTCTTAACAACATTTAGCCCACGAACCCAGAACTCCTATGGTGTTTTGATCTATATGCGAGTACTATCAAGTCCACTTGGCATTTTCCACAATTCAGGCGTCAACTCAAAAAAAGTCCGAGGAAAAATTGATCAAAACAAATTAAATTGTATCAGTCAGTCAGGTTTTGCCGACAGATGTATTACCTCGGCCAATGTTCGATTATTTAAATATATTTTGACTTCTGTTATGATTATTCAAATTGTTGACCCTCTAGAGAGTAGGCTCCGATGGATTAGGCCCATATTGTCCATTTCGTATCGGACCTATATAAATATGATATAAATATTGCGACCTGCCAGGTTCGGACTATATTGGTTACTTCCTACACCATATATGAGATATATTATATTTTTTTAGAAAAATTGCTCACTTGTTTCGCAAGTTATGACAGATAATAGTATTGATTGACCCTTTGTGGGTTAGGTGCCAGAAGGAGTTCGCAGATATATATCATCTTCACAACAGATCTTGTGTTAGCAAAAATGTTTGTATGTGTGAAATTTTAAGAGAGTTGGATGCTTATTTCACTTTCTCGGAGCGTTTTGTTTTTTAAAATCTTGATGGATATTCAAAATTATGAACCTCTGTGAGGGAAGTACCAGAAGGAGTGGACCGATATATCCCATCTTCACAACAGTTTTTGTATTAGCAGAAATAATGGGATGTATGAAATATAGAGAGATTCTGAGGTTTATTTCGGATTTAATAAACGTTTTGGTTATCCAAATATTGACCCTTTGTGGGGGAGGTACCAGAAGAAATGGTCCGATTTCTACCGTTTTTATAACAGATGTGTGTTGATAGAAATATTCATAGGTGCCAAGTCTAAATGGAATTGGATATTAATTTTGCGTTTTATGAGCTCAATGGATATTCCAAATTTCAACATTTTGTGAGGGTGGTACAGGAAGGAGTGGACCATTATATTTCATCTTATCACCAAATATTGGGTTTAAAAAATGTTGGGATGTGTGGATTCTTACATCACATTTTATAAAAGTCATGATTATTCAAAATTTTTACCCTTTGTGGGGAAGGCCCTTGACGGAGTGGACCAATATTATCCATTTTTGCACCTGACCTAGAACTGACGCAGATATTAGGATTTGCAAAGTTGGAACAAAATCGGATTATTGCTCTTTCTGTGTAGAAAATATTTTTTTGGTTTTTTTTTTTTTTTTTTTTGAAAATTTCGACCTTTTGTGAGGAGGTACCACAAGGAGTGGACCGATGTATTCCATATTCACACCAAGACATGAGTTAGAAAAACTATTGGGATGTGTGAAATTTAAAGACAATCAGGCTCTTACATCACATTTTTATTGAGAAAAAATTAATTTTGTCGCACAGTGTTATCTATTATTTGTTCTACAACTAAATGTATTTTTAACCTCCAACCACTGTTCCTTTAAATTCTTCAAAAACAAAAAAAAAAGATTGTACACACCACAGCTTTTGGAACACACAGCAAACACAATTGTGAGTGTGTGTGTTTTTCTATGAAATGTATTCTGCTGGCAGCAGGTGTTGACAGTGACCCAATTCTCAAAAGCAAAATAGTCGGTGGAATGAATCTCTTATAGATCGCTTTAATATTTTTCTTTTTAGTTTCAGTTTCAATTTTTTTTTTTTTTGGTTTTGGCAAACAAATGATGTCATTAAACTAATTTTTATTAGATAAACGATGAGAATAATTAAATGTTTAAATTTGTTAGTTTTTTTGTAAATGTTGTTATGAGATTTATTATAAAATCTATTATGACTTTGGTGTCGATCCAAAAGTTTACAAGACATAACTATGTAAATCGTACGACATAGACATTTGTCAACATTCGAGATACATCGAAATGAAAGTGCAAAAAATGTCGGAAATAGCATCAAATTTTAGAATAAGTTTAGATTTGTTCGATTTGGTCACCTTTGGCACGAATTATAGCCTTCAAAGGGCCAATAAAACCGACAAACGCTTCCCGAATGTTGCTCTGCGGTACTTTGGCCCATTCCCAGTGAAGTGTTGCTTGAGGTGATCCTCATTGCTTTCCAACCTTGCTTTCCAAAATACTCCAGACAGACACAATAGGCCAACGGATTGATATCCGGAGATTTTGGTGGCCATTGTGCGTTGGAAATGAAGCGAGGAACCTCATTTTGTAACCATTCTTGGGTGGCGAGTGCGATGGTGCTGAGTCCGGTTGGAATGTCCAAGGCCTACGGCCAAAATATTTGCGTGCCCAAGGTTTTAAAACAGCCTCCAGAATATTTTCGGGATAATACTCGGCATTTATTCTGATGCCACGGTCGATTAATACGAGCGGAGAGCGACCATCGGCTGTTATGGCGGTCCACACCACCGCCATAGCCGGCGCTTGAGTTCTAGTGGCCAACCGAAGGTGCACATTCTCAGCTGACCTCTTTGGCAAATAAATAGGATCATTTTGTTTATTTACAAACTGCTAGACAGCGAATGTTTTCTCATCGGGGAAAACCAAATTTGGCAGTTTACCACTTTCGGCCAAGCGAATCAACTTTTTAGCCCTTTTGAGTCTGAGTCTATTTTCTTTCTGTTGCGATGTAAGTTCTTGCACTTTTTTGAAATTTCAATGGCTTTACCCCGAGCTCATTTTTCAATATTTGCTGAATGGAATATTACGATATGTTCAGCTCACGAGCAATTTTTCGGCCATTGCAACGCGGGTTTCGATCAAGTCGCTTCATTACTTTTCGAACCATTTCTGCTGATGTCGTTGATTTCTTCCGTCCAATTCTTTGTCGTCGGGCTACGTTACCAGTATCACGGTAACGAGCGATGGTACGAGACACAAAAGATTTATTTACATTTAAATGCTGGAGTGCTCTAACGATAGCCCCTTGTGATTTTCCAGCCAAATATAAAGAAATCACACTATCACGCTTGAATTCCATCACGAATAACTTTTTTTCTAGAAAATTCTCACCAAAATGCTATTGTACGCTTGTAAACAATATAATGAGCTCTCACTGGAATAATTTTAACAGCTGTCGGTCGAGTGGCTTGGAAAGGACTGAAGTCGGACGAGTGGCTTGGAAATGACTGAATTTGTTTGCAGTTTTTTCATCTCACCCTGTATATCTGCGAATCACTTCAGGTACCTCAGCATTTGTCTGTCATAAGTTTCGAAATAAGTCAGCTTTCGTTACAACTTCCTATATCTAAATATGTCTTTCAACCAGAAACCTGCGAAATTTGCATCTGTATTAGATGAGGTATGAAAATGGAATACTTCGGTCGACTATATCTGGTACATCACGCACATTTTAAGGTTTTCTAAAAATTATCACATACAATATTTATATAATATATTTAGGTCCGATACGAAATGGACAATATTGGCCCATTCTTTCGGAACCTACACCATAGAGGGTCAACAATTTGGATAATCACAATAGAAGTCAAAATACAAATATATTAAAATAATCGAACATTGACTGAGGGCACACATCTGTCGGCAAAATCGATTGATGCTTTGACTTTTCATATGGAAGGTTCTACAAGGAGTGGGCCGATAACATTATAGACCGCAATCATTTCAAATTTCGTATTTGAAGATGATAATGGGTACTACAGCCTATGACAAATATGTGCGTATGAAGGTCTTCGCCTTCGTATGGCCACCATATGACGATACCTCCCGATATTCGTTAATTTGATGATATTAGAAACATTATTCACCGGATCTGTTTCAAAATTCGTACTTGAAGTTTGTAATGGATGCTTCAACCTACGACAGAAAATTTTACATGCAGGTCAACGTCTTCGTATACCTCACATACAAAGGTATCTCCCTTTTTTCAGTCCAGTCGAACTTACCTACTTTTGGACTTGTCAAAGATAGCTTTTGATCTTCTCAAAGACAATACTTGGACCTTTAAATCATTAAGGACCTATAATCCTCTTTTTCCATATAATGGGGGCTTTTGATTTTCTCAAAGAGGACCTTAGATATTTTTTTAGTTGCACCTATGAACTTCTAAAAAGAATTTTTGGGTCTCTCTATGAAAATCTATTGTTTTTTAATAGGCCCTTTAGTCTTACAGGACCTACAATCTTCCTTGGTCTACCTAATGACGACCTTTGGAATTTTGAAGGTTACCCTTGGGTTTTATTTTGGTTTTTGTCAAAAATAAAACCCTTAAGGTTCTCGTAATTTATAGAACATGTGAATTTAAAAATGAAGACGGACAGTACTCTTAAGAAGGGCCATCTGTGCCTTTTTGTTGCCTAAGGCAGATTTTGAAAAACAAAACTGCTCATCTAATCCTTTGTTTCATGAATTTTCGTTTTGTTTAAAAAAAATTGGCCGTCTTGAACTTGTCCTTAGGTAGATATAGATACATACTTTTGCAGTGGGTTTTGAGGTACCAATTTGCGGAACTTTGTGGCTATTTAGGATGGATTCTTAAATAATTATAAATTTTACAATTAAGCCTTCTCAACGAGGTCCATTCTGCCATTTTGAAGGTGACTCCGTAAGAACTTCGGTTGGCTGTTGTAAACAGATCGAACCTTTGAAAAAAAGCTCAATATGCCTTCCCAAAAAAAGATATTCCAAAAATCAAATCAGAACCCCAAACGATTTTCTTATAAAAATTCACAAATGTTAATTTTCAGGGATGTGATCACCATCCCCATTTTAAATGCTTACAATGACTAAGTATTTTGCATTGGGGAGCAATAAATCGTTTCGTTTCCAACATTTGTTGTAGAATTTCCAAACACCACACTCACAGAGAACCGAAGAGAAGCCAAGAGATCAAGGCCTGCAAAACCAAAGAGCGCAACAAATGTTCGACAAAAAGTTCGATTCCGGAAAATCTCTGCCAAGGAAATATAGAAATATGCAACTGAGAAAATTCTACAAATGAAAACTCACATGAAAATTATTCAGTGGCTGACTGATGAGGTTGGTCAATTTTTCAAAATCAGTTCAGTTTAGATCGTGGAACGAATTTGTGTCTGAAGAAAAGTAAATCTGAAGAAAATCTTTTTTTTTAATTTTGGTTTTTTTTTTTGTTTGAATAAATAGTTTTTGTAGTGCGTAAGGTCGAAAACGGCAACAACAACCACATAGCAAGCAAAACAACAACAACAATAGCGAAGAAAATCGAAAATAATCCAAAATATACCAAAAATAACAGCAACAAAACAAAGAAAAATTTCGAAATAAAATAAAAATAAAGTGTGTGTGTGTGAACAGTGAAAAAAACGAAGAAAATTTTTCAGGAAAAATAGAAACAAATTGTGTGGAAGAAAAAATCGAAGGAAAAAGAAATCAGTGAAGGAAAACTTAATAAAACAGCAACAATAATTTATTGAAAAAAAAATGAAAATTACAATTGAAAAAGTTTTAAGAAAGAAAATGAAAATCTCTAAAGGAAAAATTGTCGTGAAAAGATATCGTGGCTAGAATGCCATGGCTATGATAAAACACCAGACGAAATAAAAATTACAAAAATCAAGGAAAATGTTTTTTTTTTTTTTTTTAAATAATTGACAAAGAAAAATTATTTGAAATATGGGGTCTTTGAAAAATATATTCAAAACAAAAAATAAATTTTGGCAAATCATGAATTGATGGAATATCAAGGTTCTTCTCAAGGCAAAAATAAGAGTTTAGCAAAATAAGACATTGCCATTTTCTTGTCTTTCGATAAATTTAATTCAAATATTTCAAAACATCAAATATTTCAATATAAATCTTAGCCGATCTCGATGAAATTCGGAAAATGTATTTCCGAGATCAATAAGATATCTGATACCAAATAATATTGTTGTCGAATGCATATTACGAATGTGGGGGACTTAAACACCAAATCGGATGAAAATATGTATGGAAGCTATAGCTATATCTGAACCGATTTTCACCAAATTTGTTGTATTTGCTTCTAAACTGAATTCGGTAGGATATACCAAAATTTAGGGCATTTGGACTAATATTGACCATTGGTGCACAATTAACCCGAATTCGGATGAAGATATATATGGGAGCTATATCCAAATCTAAACCGATCTTGATAAAGTTGACCAGAGGTATTTCTAGGCTGTACCTGAAATCTGGTACCAAATATCATTCTTGTGGAGTGCATATTTGGAATGTTATGGACTTAAACGCCAAATCGGATGAAACATATATATGGGAGCTATAGCTATATCTGAACCGATTTTCACCAAATTTGATGTACTCGCTTCTAGACAAAATTCGGTCGGATGTACCAAAATTCAGGTCATTTGGACTGATATTGGCCATTTGGTGCACACTTAACCCGAATTCGGATGAAGATATATATGCGAGCTATATCCAAATTTAAACCGATCTTTATAAAATTTGGCAGAGGTATGTTTAGGCTGTATCTAATATCTGGTACCAAATATCATTCTTGTGGAGTGCATGTTTGGAATATGAGGGACTTAAACACCAAATCGGATGAAACATATACATGGGAGCTATAGCTATATCTGAACCGATTTTCACCAATTTAAATATATTTGCTTCTAGACTGAATTCGGTCGGATGTACAAAAATTAATGTCAATTGGACTGATATTGACCATTTGGTGCCCAATTAAACCGAATTCGGATGAAGATATACATGGGAGCTATATACAAATCTGAACCGATCTTGGAATGTGAGGGACTTAAACGTCATATATATTGGAGCTATAGCTATACCTGAACCGATTTTCACAAAAATTTGAAGTACTTGCATCTAGACTGAATTCGGTTGGATGTACCAAAATTCAGGTCTTTTGGACTGATATTGGGCATTTGGTGCACAATTAACCCGAAATCGGTTGAATATATATGGGAGCTATATCTAAATCTGATACGATTATCACCAATTTCAATGGGGTTCGTCCTTGGGCCAAACATATATTGTTTGCAAGATTTAATCTCAATCGGATAATAAATGCGACCTGCATTTTCTTCACAAGAATACATGGACGGACGGACTGACATGCATAAATCGACTCAAAAAGTGATTCAGTGAAAATCCTCAAAAGTAACTATGGGTCTATCTCGCTTCCTTCTACCTGTCACAAACAAATGCACAAAGATATAATACCCTTACCACTATGTGGTGTAGGGTATAAAAATCTCTACCAATCAGATTTCGAAAATTCCAATCGGAGAAAATTTATTTAAATAAAAAACCCAACACCCAATGGTCAGTCAATGTGGTCACCCAAACTCTTTCCTCTAATAGTTCGCTTCTTTATTTATTGTTTTTTTTTTTGTTTTTGGGGAAAAGTTTAAAAAGAATTTTCAAAATTCTGTTGTTTTTTTTTCTTTTTCTCCTTGTCTGTATTGCGTTATAGCATCAGCAAAACGCCTCCATAAATTTATTTTTGTCTATAAATTTCTTCTTCGCTGGCTTTGTATTTGAAAATAAACGAAATTATTTTTGTTTTCGTTGTTGTTTTTTTTTTTTTTCTTCTTCTTCAAGAAAAAGAACAATTTTATTAACTCTCTTCGCTCCCCGCCACCTCTTTCCCTATCACTTTTCCACCAAGCCATTTTTTTGTATTTATTTTCCATTTGCCAAAGATATAGGCAGCAACAGATCTGCAGAACAGACAAAAAAGATTTTTCTACAGCAGATGTTGCAGACGAAAATTCTCTCATTTCCACAGCAACGAAAAACAAACACACTCATCCTCACATATTGAGAACTTGTTCGATTATTTGCATACAAAGCTCTACGAGGGCGGATCGATAAATCACATTAATTTTAAGGGGGAATGCATGATTGCTGCAAATCAAATGGCATGTCGAACAGTATGTTGTCACACACAATCTATCTCTCTATCTCTCTTAGAAAAAGAGAGGCAAGAGATGCAGAAAGAGTGGGCCTATATGTTTCATTTTCTTACTTGCGCTAATATAGACAAAAGTATTGGGACGAGAAAAATTTGAAGATCGGACATGGATTCACAACTTTAAGTGATTTTTAATCGGGTATTCGATTCGTTTAATATGAGATATATGTTTTATATTTGTTATTTTTGTACCCTCACCGATATGGCTACAGACGGTATATATCATTTGAAACGGCCAAAACGTGTTTCATCGAAATAACGGTTTTAGACCCTAGGTCTCTTTGAGCCAAATCCGTTTCAAGAAATTTTGAGTCGATCTAGCGATGTCCGTCCGTCCGTCTGTCAGTATGTTTGTCTGACAGGCTGGTGCGCACGATAGCTTTCGAAGGGAGTATCCGATTTGATCCAAACTAGATACATCATAATATTATTGTCAAACTTAGATAAAGTTTGAAGATGGGCAATTTCGGTCCAGCCTTTCTGGTATCTCCCCCACAAAAGTTAGACATTTTAAAAAAATATTTTACTGCACAGAAAGAGAAAGATGATCCGAATTTGTTCCATTAAGATCTGTTATAAAGATGGTAGAGATCGGACCATTCGTTTTGTTATCTCCCCCACAAAAGGCCGAAATCTTCAATAAGGACTGGATGTAAGTTATGCATCAGCGGCGAAAAAAAACACGAAGAAAATTTCGGAATAGTATAAAAAAAATGATTTTGAATAAATATGGTTACAGCCTCTTTTATCCATAATGCAGTAAAGAAAGACTTAAAGTCGGGCGGGGCCAACTTTATGATACCCTACACCACTTTGCACATTTAGTAGAGCTTCACATAACAAATAAAAGTTTTAATGGCGAATTTGTGAGAATTATTGATTTCTTCTAAATTTGCAGATACATTTGTGCCTTTTCAAATCGGACTTGTATTACCCATTTGGTACACCATTAACTTGAAATCGGATAATGGGAGCTATATCCAAAACTGAACCTATCTCGATAAAAAAATTATTTCTAAGATGTATTTGATATATTTCCCGGCATATCGTTGTTACAGAGTACATGTTACGGCTGCGGATGACAAAAATAACAAATCAGATGAACAATATATATGGGAGCTACAGCAATATCTGAATCGATTTCGATCAAATTGTTATATTATTTTCAGGCCTAATTTGGTCATGTGTACAAAATTCCATACTATTTGGCCTGATATAAGACGTTTGGTGCACAATAAAGGGCAAATCGGATGAATATATTGGAGCTATATGTCAATTTGAACCGATTCTCACGAATTTCAAAAGGTTTGCTTATAGACTGAATTTGGTCGGAGGTGCCGAAATTCTGGTCATTTTGACTGATATTGGCCATTTGTTACACAATTAACCCGAAATCGGTTGAAGATATATATGAAAGCTATGACTAAATTTTGACCGATTATATCCAATTGCAATAGGGTTCATATTTAGGTCAAGCAAATGATTTGTGCAAAATTTCATCTGCATCGAACAATAAATGCGACCTGTACTTTGTTTACAAAAATACATGGACAGACGGACGGACGGACATGCATGAATCGACTCAGAATGTGATTCTATGCAGATCATCAAAAGGATCTCGTTTCCTTTTGCCTGTTACAAACCAATGCACAAAGACACAATACCCTCACCACCTTGTGGTGTAGGGTATAAAAATCTTGGGCAGTTCTTTTAAAAAGATGAGAGTATATTATATATGGAATCTCTGTATATTATATATGGTTTATATAAGTTCCATATTTAAAAAAAGTCTATGGATTGTCTGCTTTCTGGTGGAGTTTTCTGAAAGTTATTTAGAGCAAGAGTTATATCTACAGAAGACTTTTAAGGAGATATTTCACCTATAGGGGACCTATAAAATTACTTATGTCTAAAGAACAACGCTGAAAAACATCTCCACATAGTAATAAACAACTAAAAAAATAGTAAGTTCGGCCGGGCCGAACTTTTAATACCCTCCACGGTGTGAAACGAATTTGGCAATTTTCAAAAAAAAATTCCTTAAAAAATTCTGTTAAAATCTAAAATATACCGAATGTAGCCGTTATATTAGTGTCTATACGACAACGTGGACCTGCATAGGCAACTGTTGTCAGATTCAAATGCGAAT